GCTTTATTGTTTATTCTCTATGAGAACAATTTACTGTGGAAATTGATTATTTTATGTTGTTTGTACAGTTCTCACGGCATCGTTGGTGGCACCTGTGTGCAATAAATGCCAGTAAAAATCGGAGGGAGGGAGTTACAATAACTTCCACTTTTTCCTGAGCTGTTACAAAGTTCTGTTGGCCTGAAGATAGAACTGGGTAATCCCATTCCCGCCGGTCACCTCCCATTCTTCTGACCATTCCCCAGACCTCCCCCACTGGAGTGGTTCTTCCTATTTTAGAACAGAACAACCTCCAACTGCTCCGCTTTGCTTGTCTCACTGTTCTCCTGACCACTGCCACTGCTTTTCTGTATGCAATCAGAGCTTGTATATTAAGGGTTCTTTGGAGAAATTTAAACGCCTTGTTTCTTTCCTTTACAGCAATTTGACATTCCTCTGTCCACCACGGCACCAAAGTCCTACTTACATTGCCTTTACTGGTCGGGATTGAGGCCTTGGCGGCTACCATAAGTACTTCAATAAACTGATTATTCATTTGATCAACACTACCAGACTCATCAACCTTGTCAATCGTTTCCTCACATAATCCAGTCAGCCCTATAAAAACACCACTTCTTATGCACCTCTCTTAGAGATACCTGTATCTTTCCTCCAACATCACAGAAAACAGGATAATGGTCACTGCCTATGGTAGTGTCTGTTCTGATGGTCCACTGACTTATTCCTGCAAGGACAGTTGAGACTAGAGTTAAATCCAAAACTGGCTCTGTTTCATTAACAACATTACATCTGGTCCCCCTACCATCATTCAGGCACACCAAATTGCATGTATCCATCAATTCCTCAATAACCTTACCATTTTTATCTGTGCTATGTTATTATATTATATTATTTGTGCTATGGGCATTAAAATCCCCACACCAAATAACTCTACGACAGTCACTTCCTTCAATTGAACGAAGACGGGGCATCTCCAATCTGGCGCAAGGATTGTAGAAATTCACAATAACATTTGGTTCATTCCTGTCCCAAATCTCAATAGCAATATACTCCATTCTTGCCTCACTTCCCTGATTTGCTCATCGTACTTTTCTGTCAGAGCTTCAAAGGCCTTTGTATTTGTTTCTTATACTTTTCTTCATGCTCTTCTTTCTCTTTGTTCCTGCTCTCTTCTAATTTTTTCTTCTTCTCTTGTTTTCTTTATATATCTTTCTTTCTCCTCCTCATATTCTTCTTGGAGCTGTAGGAGCATTGCTTGTTCCTTCTCTCTTCTCTGCCTGTCTTCTTTGTACTGTTTGTTCCACCACTCTTGTTTCTCCATTTCCCAAGCATGCTGTTTCTTTCTCATCTTTTTTCAAGTTTGTTTTGTGGAGGTAAACACAGACAACACTCGATTAACACTCATAGTTTATTGCGCATCACCACACAACTGAATACTTTCTCCTCCAAAACACAGCAATAACACTTCCTGAGAACTGGGTTTGAGTGGAGTCCTCCAGTGGTCCACCACAGTTTCAACTTTCTCTCAGTGATTTCTTTGGACTCTGATTCAGATTTGATTTTTTCCTCCAGAGCTTCAAGTTTTTGTTCCCATTGCTGTTGTTGACTGTCCTCCAGTTGTCTCCTCTCTCTGATCATGATTTCTCTTTTTTCCATTTCTTTTTTTTTTTGGTCTTCCAGCACTTTATTAAATTTTTCTTCCTTTTCCTTGAGTTCTTTTTCTCTCCGTTTTCTCTCTTCTTCAGTTTCAGCTCTCTGTTCTTCAAGTCTTCTTTGCATTTCTTTCATGTCCTCCCCATGTTTCCTTTCAAATTTTTCTCTTTCTCTCTTCATCTTATCGTCCATCTCTTTCAGGATCCTCTGCACTTCCTTCTGTATCGCTGCTTCAGCTTTTTGCAGCATCTCATTGGTGTAGCAGTTGCCTCCATTGTACTTGTACGTGTCAATCTTTGTTATCAGCTTGCTGACTTGTGAAGAAAAAACAATAATTTTCCATTATAGGATCATTCTTTCTGATTAACAACAGTGAATGATCTAATGTACAGTTTAATTACTATGCAAAGAACAAGAAAAATACCCCACTATTACGATGGTGCTGATTGCCAATAATGTCCTTTGAATGGACTGATATCCAAAGCAGATGATTTAGTCCAAATCAAATGATATCCTTTTACCTTTATCACTTCCAAGAACTGTTTCTGGATTCTTCTTTTGAGACTCTACCTTTACTTTTGATCTGGTTTGCTTGTGATCTGATCACAAACATGACAAAATCATAATACTTAAACACAAAATAGTGTATTTGTTTAGAGGTGTTTT